GGAAACCGGAGCACCCAGAGGAAACCCACGCGAAGGCATGGAGAACATGAAACCACACAGAAACGCCAACTAAGCCGAGGTTCGAACCAGCGGCCCAGCAACCTTCTTGCTGTGAGGCGACAGCACTACCTACTGTGCCACTGCCTCGCCGTTTCACCAGTCATTATTACATATTTGAGTCTTTTTGGAGTCTGACCTACAGTTAACAAAAAATAAACACAACACTTTTGTTTTTGCTCCCATTTTCCATAAGCTGAACTCAAAGATTTCAAACCTATAAAGTATTCTCTGAGAATCAAAATGTATTTTTCATTTAAACAGCTACTTAATTCATATATGATTCACTTACAGCATAATTCAATATATATTCAGTAATGTAATGACGTTCTGTAAGCTTCCTCAATGTGATTCTCTGACAACAGAAATAAAAAGTGTTAGCCGAATTTAAACAAATTCCAAAGCTTAAAAACTTCTGGTAGATCTAAAGATTCCACATCTTGATATAATATATGACACTGTAAAAAATGCAGGGTTCCAAACAATTCATTCATGTTGTCCCAACACAACTCGATTAAGTAAACTTAGTGAAGTTTATAATCTAATTTCGAGAGGAGTAAGCGCTTATGATTGATAGCAGCTGGTCCTCATTAGCTAACACTGATTCACCAATTAGACGATTCCTTAATCACTATAAATAACCAGAGTATCTTACCTTAGCTATCTTCATCTTGAAGAATCCCCCCTTCCACCCCTACTCCTCCCATTTCCTTGTCAAGGCAGCACGGAGGCGTAATGGTTAGCATCATTGCCTCACCGCAAGAAAGTCACTGGCTCAGATGCTAACTGGCCAAGTCGGCATTTCTGTGTGGAGTTTGCATGTTCTCCCCATGTTTGCGTTGGTTTTCCCTGGACCTCCAGGTTTCCTCCCACAGACCAAAAACATGCAACATAAGTAAATTGACAAAACTAAATTGACAGTACAGACAATCCATAGCATTCATAATCTATTTCCACCATTATCAAGCAGGGGAAGTTCTCAAAACCTACCTGAACTCGGACTGCCCTCTCGCCCTGCAATGGGAGGCTTGAGGATCTCATGAGCTCAGGGCTCTCTCTCAGGACAGCATGCCAAACACGCTTTATAATTAATCATCAGCTAAGGGCGAACTCTTGAAACACTTTTAACAAATTTATATGGATTGAACATGAAAAATTAAGCTGTCCCAATGAAATCTCAAGAATTGTGTTGATTCAGCTTATTTTAATTAAGTAGTTTTTTTTAAGTGTAGATGGTTTGGGAATCTTATAAAGGTTTGAAAATACAAATGATTTCTTCTGTCATTTTTTATTAAAACATTTAAAGGAGTTTCATTGTGATTGTTAATGGTTTGTTCCCCAGCTACCAATTCAAAGAGGGGAGATAAAAGCTCTGAAAAGAAGTATTTAACCAACTTTACCGCATTCAGCAAATGTGCAAGCTATGGTGAAAACAACATCTCAGCGCTCAGGACATTACATATTGAGGATCACTGAAGTGAGGAGAGACACTTTTAGAGTGCTGTCAGCAGGGCATCAGGAGGCTTTGAGATCTTAAAAAGTGGCCAAACAAACTGCATAACGAATAACACATCTGTCCTTCAAAACCCATCAAGGATCAGACAATCCTCACGGCATTGAAAGCAGAATAAAGTGAAAAAAAGAGTGGCATCAATTTGTGTTAGCAAGTCTTTATCCTCCAGAGAAAGAGTGTGCTGTATAGAGTGGAACTTTGAATTTGGAAGGTGAAAAGAAAGTCCTTCTGTATTCAGCGGCGGTGATGAGATGGCGTTCAAATGCAAATGCAGGAACTTGGTCGTGTATATTCACCGGCCAAATCCTGAAACTCTTCCTGACCGTCTGAACTGACAAGTGTCTGGCTAATGGGTTCTGAGGGGCATCAGCCTGGCCAACTAAAACACATCTCAATTTTAATGATACCGCGAATGCAGCTTTCTTTCTTTTTTGTTTTTACTTTAACAAAGTTTACATGAGCAACAGGTAATCACACTGAATGAAAACAGCCTTCAAAGTTTACAAAATGTTAGCAACGGGACCACGTGATCATCACTACCATAATGGAAATAAATTGATTAAGAGAATGGAGGGTGATAAGTCTAAAGATCCAGAGTTTTTCAGAATGCGAAGGGCCAATGTTTACTAGTTTGTTCCCTTGTTTTATTTTAACAGTGTTTACATTTGGTTGCCTGATTTTAGTTTAAGGAATAAACTTAACAGTCTGTTTTGGTTCTGATCAAACAAATTCACTTAGTTAAATGTTTTCAAACCTTGTTCACAGTATAAACAGTTAAAATTGTTCCCACATAACCCTGTGGCAATAAGACCTTTCCCTGGCTTTTCAGCCCTGATCTCACAAGGAAAAGTAGATATTTTACATTTTGTCAGCTTAATGGCTAATTCATACAAATTCATGGAAAAATGTCAGATTTTTAAAAGGAGGTATGTCACCAAACCAGGGCCGGAGTGGGACTCCTTTTCACCCCTGGAGTTTCTAGCCTTAGATCTTCCCACATCAGTTCACGACTGACTATAGTAAAATGACATCATTTAGACTTCAGTTTCTAGTGACACTATCACGTCTTTTTCAAGGAAAAACTGCTTTAGTACTTTTTTCATAAATATGAGAACATTGAAGGGTAGCTAAATCTCCAATACTATTCTTTAAACCATCTTTCCTTTTCTGAATATTCTGTGCAAAATTCTATTCAGTCCTTTGTAAAAGTAGTCACACAAAGAAATAAAAATAAAATTTGTACACCTACATAAGTAACTCAAACAGTATTATATTTCACGAAAAATGAAAAAAAAAATTCAGGTGAGGTTAGAACTCTGGTTGGCAGTGTTGTAACACAAAATGCAGACCACTGTGTTACGCTGATGTGATTGGAATAAAAAATAAGTAATGCGCTGTTACCCGCAAGACTCTTACCCACTGTAACGTTACTTTCTATCGATGGTTAAATCTTTTCCTCCCCTTTTTAGATTTCTGATCAAATTATGTCAGATTTTTTAATGTAGTGAATCTTCTGGTTTTCATTGAGTATGTATGTAATATTGTATTATTCATTAATATTAATTATTCAAATGTTTATTTTCACTAAGATGCCGCTGTTTGGGCTTGAATGATAGTTACACCATCATTAACCTGCAGGCTGCATTTTGCTCACGGGGCTGCGAGAAAATAAAAAAATAAAAAAGTGGAGCTGAGGCAAAATAATTAATAAAAAGAGTGATTCTATGGTCAAATAAATAAATAAATGAAAAAAAGTGCGAATGCTGAGAGTGCAAGCAGCTAGGGACAGCGGCCCTCGTGGCCAAAAAACGGAACGGCCCATCGGGAATTCTCCCGGTCCTCCTGATTATCCAATCCGGACCTGCACCAAACCCCACCCTTAAACTCAACCTTCATTGGGAGATGAACAAGTCGTACTAAAATGTACGAATGAGACCATACAAATTCATAGGAAATTAAAAAGTTAGGAATAGGCATAAGATAGCATTGGAATTTCCATGACCTATAGGATAACCGTAGTGTGGAACCAAAATTGAGTGAATCTGCAAATGATTCTAAAATGAATGCATATTTTTGTGCAAAATTTAGAGGAAACTGCACATTTTTATTAACACACATTTCTTGCTAATTTTAAAAACACTATAAAACATAATCATCAATCATGTCTGCTTTTAATCTGTATTTTATGATAGTTTTTTTCATTTATATATGCTTTTGATCTGCATTATGAGATCTTGATCTGTTCATTAACAACTTTTGATGTTGAAAAGTTTGAAAAAGTGACATTATTGACATTTTCACTTGTTTGAAGTGATATATTGTCTGGGTTGGTGTTGTAAATTATGATAGAAGAACCTGGTAATAAGCTGTTAGTACGGTTTCTGTTATTAAAAAAAGTATATATTATTTCCAAAACAGTACATTGTTTCAAACTACTAAATTATCAGTCATTTTGCTGAACTGCAGTGTTGAATTTTCAGCATCAATAGTTGACAGAGCAGAGACCAAGGTCACATGTTCATAATCATAAATAAACAGACAAAATGATATATTATAAAATACGGTACCTGTTAGTTAACATATATATTTTACAACGCAGCCAAGACACTCACATTCCTGCTGCACCATTTGCATTGTTTTATATTAACTAACATTGTGTGTGTGTGTGTGTGTGTCATAGATAACAGAAACCAATGATAAAAAATAACGATGAAATAAGATGTGTACTTTTATGTATACTTTCACAGCAAACAACAAAAGTAAATATTGCAACAATACTTACTACCCCCCCCCCCCCCCCCGAGAAAAACTATGATAAAAAAGACATTTTTATAAATACATAATATGTAGTTATTTTGAAATATTAATGAATTATAATGAGATATCTCATTATATCTCCTTTTAACGAGTTGGGTTTCTTTTTGGTTCTCACTACCAAGATTGCTTTTTTATTTTATTTTCTGTGCCGTTCAGGGCTTCGGTACCATTCAACCTGAAGCTTGAGAGTTGCTGAGAGTAAGTGAAACTGTCCCATTTAATCACATTTTGTTCTGTAGACTATCAAAAAAAAAAAAAAAAAAAAAAAAAAAAATATATATATATATATATATATATTAGCCTAAAGGGGCTAATAATTTTGTCCTTAAAATGGTGTTTAAAAAATTAAAAACTCCTTTTATTCTAGTCAAAATAAAACAAATAAGACTTTCTCCAGAAGAAAAAATATTATCAGACATACTGTGAACATTTCCTGAACCTGTTAAACATCATTTGGGAAATATTTAAAAAAGACAAAAAATATTTAAAGAGTGGCTAATAATCTGACTTCAACTGTACTGGGACTATAGAAATGTTTTTGTTCTTTAACTCTGGTTGCATTTCAAAGAAGCATGCAGTGTTCTTAAAAAAAATAAAATGGCCCACACACAAATGAACTTTAATTTGTTTATTATAGTTCACTACATAAGAAGTGCAAAGACATGTTTATAAACCATTAGAGGAGTGAATGTTATCCAAATTGGTCGTCATAATATTAAATAAAATACATTCTATCTTGTCAATGATGTAAAGAAAATATCATAAATGATTACTTGGTATAAAAGCCTTAGATATGAATTTTAAAACTCTGAAATGATAATTGCATTAATTATCTGCATAGTCAATATTGGATAAGCCTAAGAGTGTAAGACATGTGTGAAGAAACTAAGAAAGAGAGTACAAAACATGAAGTGTTTGGATTTTTTTAAAGACATGGAAACCAAAGAATTTGTTCACTGGCTTTGTAACAATATAATTTTTCCTTTTAAGTTATTGTTGCGAACCTGGGCTAAAAGAAAAATTAACCTTCAAAACAAAGTGACTGTTGACCTTTGTCACATTTTATCACAAGATATCAAATGCTGCCTAAGTTTTTGAATGCAGTTGTTTAGTGTTAGCATATTCAAAACAAACACCAAAGCTTAAATAAAATGTTAGTGAAGATGTGTAACACCTTTTAAAGGGACAGTATGTAATAACTTTTGTGTATGAAATGCTTTTGCCTATCCCTTTATAGTGTTTGTCATGGTTTTATGACATTTATAATGGGAATTGTATTATTTTCAACTTCTTTTTCTAATCAAAGAATGAAAAAGGTCTTCGTCTTGACTCCTGAGTATACCGGCATTGAATCACGGTAAGTCTCTTACACCCTATTCACAAAGGTTATTGGTGTTACGCTTGACTTAGAGCATGTCTAAAGCTTTGTGGTGACAGCCAATCACATCCATCTTTGACCATGACATTAAGTAGTACCATGACATAGAAGCAACCCAGGCTCATTTTGAAAAGTCCCGTGGACGTTTCTGAAGACCGCAAATTACATAGCCAGAGGCACGTATGGCTGCTTTTCAATCTTCAAGCAAATGCTATGGGGTGGTATGACGTCGTTCATTTTCAAGCTTATTGGCTGACCGCTTACCTCCGTGTGGAGGGCTTTCCTGCCGCAACCAGTTTGTCCAGTTAGCTCATCATGTACGTCGGCGGACTTGAGACGCAGAGAGGAGCAGGTTGAAGTCCGGGAAGAGCAGTTCCCGAAATCAGGTAAGACAAAAACAGAATCCAAAAAATAAAGTGAATTAGTTAATAACAGGATGAAAATGTGGTAAACACATGGTAAAAATCAGACGAGGGATTTTACTTTTTCTGGACAGCTTTTGTAAATTATTAGTTGAGTTTAGGGAAGTAAGCGCGGGGGGCGGGGGGGAGTTGGGTTTAGGAAAGGAGAAGGGTGGGTTGGCCGATTGGCCAGTCGCCCAGTCAATCATTCAGCCAGTCAGACAGACGATCGTTTAACAGTGGCCTTTGGTGGGTTTACGCGAGAACAGTGCGGGCGCGAACGGCACTCGCAAGAGACATTAGAGATTCGAAAAACCGCACACAGCGGCCTCTCATGGATTCGCGAAAACAAAAACTGCAAAAATATGTAATACCCGGGACGTATTTCGTGGTCTCCAGAAAACGTCTACGGCACTACGTTTTCAGAATGAGCCTGGGTTGCATAGAAGTAGTAGTAGTTGTGTATAAAGAATGCATGAAGCACTCGGTGATTACAAATCGTTATTACAAGCTTTTCCTCCATTTTGACATAACGCTGTTAGCTGGTGTTGGACAAACATCATTGGCTAGCGTCTGCACTAGCATTTGCGAAATGCAAACCGATTGCGGGATCCTTGCATTGGCAATTGAAAACTTGAACGTTCTTCACATTCTGCAGTGAACAACAAATCCAACTTGTTTTAACAGATCCACAATTCTGTTTGACAATGCTTGACTTCACTCCAAAGTAAGTAAGAAGTGTTAACGCCGTCCCCCTATGTGAATGGAGGTTATGGATAACGTGTGTAAGAATTTGAGCACCAGCAAGAGGTTGCTGTCTGCAGTTCACATAACGGCCAGCGGTGTCCCTAGTTTCTGAATTCTGCATATAGTCTCTTTAGCAGTGAGGTTTCGTGTTGTAAGAAAACGTTTCTGAACTTCTCACAAATCTAAAAAGCAAGAGTTCTCGAAGTTTGTTATGTGTTTTTAATTCACAGTAAATCTTTGTGCGTAATGTGGAAATTTTGAATTAGCGTTCTCCTGTGAGAGACATAGCCATCTACTGCCGATCAGAATATAGGCATGTACCTAAAGTGAGTCCTCTAAGTATTTCGAAAGTGCAAGAGCTAAACAGATTGATGACCAAGGCAACTTAGTTAATATAACTATTTTAAAAACAACTATTCTGAACCACCAGTGTTTTTGATGAAGGCAAAGCCTTTCTTTGTGAGGGAAACTATCTGAAGATATGCTTTCCCAGAATGCTGCTGGATTCCACTTGCTCAATCACTTGGCAATAAGATTTGGCTTCAGCTGAGAGGTTTTTCAAGCCAGCTGGCTGGTAAAGTTCAATGTTCTTGCTGATAACACTGTGAGAGAGGGAGTGAGGAAGAAAGCGGCATGTGCGGGGTGAGCAAGGTTATCCCAGCAGGACTCTTTGAAGGCGATCAACGGGCACGCTGTGGTCATCGTCTGAGTCGGCGTCGCTTTGAGGGTTGGAGCTGCAGGGAGAGGTGCATTCTGGGGAGCACAGGTAGTGCATCAGGGGAAGGCGATACTTCCCACAGAAATCCACAAACTTGATGTGACGAACACATGAATCGAAGTAAACACCTGGGAAAGAGATGTGAGATAAATGTTTAGAAAGTATTTTGATTCAAATCGCATCCACAACTAGTCAAAGTTAAAAATTTGCTGGTAAATTATGGTAATTTCAATAGGAATCAATGCAAATTTGAGGAATTTCTCTACATTTGTGGTGTGCTTTTTGCTCCAGGAGAGCCACCTTCTTAAAGAATTCAATTCTGACTCTTTGTAAACACAAGTGAACCAGCTAGTCTTCAGCATCACATTGAGGTGGCATTGTTGAAGCTAAACTCTTTAGGAATGTGGTACTACTGGAGCAGGATTTGGACAATCTCGTTGTTAATCATTTTATTCTGAATACTTTAGGTACTTTAATGTCATATCCACATAAAGTTTATATGATTTTTCTTCTCCCACCTGCACACTTGGGGTTGGGACACTTGCTGGCTGTGTCTAGGTAGGTGACTAGATGGCTTGGAAGGTCTTTATGAGAGTACAGCAGGTTCTTGCTTTTGATGGTGCGGCCAGACAGCTCCAGAAGTGATGGGGGATCGTAAGTCATGTCCTTGACGAAGCGTACGACCAAAGGATTACCTCGAAGACTGAGCTCCTGAAGGTGAACCAGACTTAGGATCTCTCTCGGAAGATATGTCAGCAGGTTATTGTGCAAACTAAGAGAACGCAGGGAATAGAGCCTGTGATGGTGAAGAGAAACGCAAAAGTGATTAAATGGTTTTCTTCTAAATTTTGTTTTAATCAAATCTTGCAAGTCTAATTGACCAACTTTGTAGGAAGGATTTGTTTGGCACATCTCATACTAACCGGTTTAGTTGAGGTGGGACACTCTGGATGCGGTTATCACACAGAACCAAGTAACTAAGGCCGGGCAAGTTGGCTAGTTCAGCAGGGATGGTGGAGATCTGGTTACCACCCAAATACAACAGCTCTAACCTGGAAAGACAAAAAAAGGGATCATGTTGACACAATTACAAGAATTGCAAGATCATTATGTGAACCCAAAAATCCTTGAAAGTAGGATTTGAGCCAATGTTTCTAGGATTGTAATCAGGTACAAAAAAACAAGGACAAAAGAAAAACAGAATCAGTCTAGTGGGCCTTCTAGGCAGTCTAGGTTAGGAGAATTAAGCTTACACACATCCCACTAAAACCATCCATGCCAATTCAAATAGGATTCACACCACAATTTCTGGAATGCAAAGCAGGCAGACTACACTATGGATGCCGTTGCCAGAGTGGTCTGCCTCCTAAAGCCTGGACAGTGATGTTTACCCACACAGTTCTTACTAGCTGGTCATTACACTCACTTACATAAACTTGCCTACCATCTAGGTCACTTTACAAGTGTAACTCCTATAGTTTTTCTTCAATCACTGCTCAAACCAGCACTTCTGTTGTTGGATGTGTGCCACTAACAAAGGTTTTGAAATGTGTCAGTCACTAGTGAACTTCTTGTGACTTCAATACACGTTTCTTTGTTTCTACTATAAAACCAATTGATTATACATTAAAGCAGTGATTCGCAATATTTTTGATTCCATGATACTGCCTTTGACAATTTTTGAAGATCTACTATCTAAAATATTTTTGCACTACTTATACTTTTGTTTTAAAACAATAATGTAATTTTAATGTTGTAAATGTAACTTTATTTGTTTTTGTCTTGCAGATCAATTTTGCTAAATAATTTTAAGACTCATTCATGCCTCTGGAAGTTTGCCAATGTGGGGTCACCCCTTGTTGAGGACCACTACATTATAGTAGGTGAAAATCAACAGGAAATCTCTCACTGAACAAACCCAGACATGTAGATAAAGGTCAGTAAACAATCAATGCAAACATGCAAAGGCTATGAGGAAATTGTTCTACCTTCAGCTGTTTTTCAGCCAATACAGATAAATGTTGCACGATTGCATTGATATCTTCATCAAACATCCTTATTGTTGTTCATCACAAACACTAGAGAATACAGGTGCAATGCTTCAAGGAAAAAGTAGTTTATATAGGCTACAAACTTGTGCATTTGTCAATAAATTAAATTTTAATGCATTTTTTAATAGCTTAATGGCATAAAGTGAAATTATACCTGAAGTGAAATTAACATACAAAATGGATGTATTTTGATCAAAATGGTAAAAGTTAAGTGAAGATAAACTGCAGTCTGATAAACACCCTAATGCTGTGTTCACACCAGACACTGATGAAGCATCACACTTGAGTGATTTACATGTTAAGTGAATGCAAAGATGGCGCACGAATTGCTCAAGTTAGAAAATCTAAATGTCAGCGGACATTCGCGTCGCATAAACCAATTCAATTTACCTTTATTCGTAAAGCACTTTTACAATGTAGATTTTGTCAAAGCAGCTTTACATAAAAGATTATAGTAAATTGAAACAGTGTAGTTTAGTTTTCAGAGTTTAAGTTCAGTTCAGTTTAGCTCAGTTTAGCTATGGTTAATAGTCATGACTAAGAGTCTAAACACTGAACAGCAATCCATCGATGCACAGCTCTACAGATCCCGAACCATGCAAGCCAGTGGTGACAGTGGTGAGGAAAAAACCTCAACTAATCATGAGCTTGCTGTTATAGGGGAGTGATTATGGCGTTTCGCCCGTAGTTGGTGTCCCAAGGGGAAATCCTCTTGCCGACACCGGACAACAGCTCATAAAACTGGGCTTGGCTAATCTGAAGCACTGCTGAAAACCTCCATCATCCAGGTACAGGTTCTGGTGGAGTTGTTAAACTTGCAGGGCTGGGTGCACCTCAACCCGCCACCCCCACCTCACAACCCCCCGCTCAACCTCACCCCCCACTACCACCACCCCCGCCACAAAGGATCTAGTGGACTCTACGCAGTTTTTCTGCTTTCCTACAGCACACAAACACAGATATTCTCTCAAAAAATCCATGTTAGCCATTTAGCAACGAAGCTAGAGTCAGTTGGCAGACAGAAGCCCTGCCCATAATGTGAATTCGTTAATTTGACGTGTGAATGAAGCCAATTTGACGTGCAGATGAAGCAAGTAAACTCAAAATGTTCACGCATCTATTTATGCACAAATGTCATTATTTATTCAGGCTTTCTGCATCTGGTGTGAACAGAATCAGACTACCATTGGTCAGTGTGTCATATTTGTAAAATGGAAGTGTGGCATTTGGCTCCACCGTCTTTGACATAAAAGGAGATTTACTATCCATCACAGTGCAGTGTTTCTTTGACAAGATGTGCATGAGAATAACAGCTTTTGCAGAATCATGACTAATTAATTGTGCTGCCCTACCTACCTATTAGATGCTTTTTAATTTCTGTTTTCTCACTACTGTCATTTTAGTTTATTTTTGGTACTAAGCAGAAGCACACAGCACGTTTTAAGATATTCACCTAAATGACACTAGCAGTGTGGATGTTGTTGGGAGGTTTGTTAATAGTATATAAATGTTTGTGCATTTCAAATTGTGTTTTTCTACTAAATGAAGTATTCACAAAGAATTTGGTTGGGCAAATAAAATTTGTACTGAAGAATTTTTTTTAACTTTCCACAGAAAAAAATCCTCATCTAGGGATAGAGAACAAGACACTGAGAGCAAAGGAGCGAAAGACCACTTTGTTGATTTGTTGTCCTCCCTAAAGACAGGCTTCCATTTTTGCTTCAGCATCTCAATCCCCTCCGCCAACCCATCAGAGCTTAGTCTCTACAATTACCACAGCAGACAGAAATGGCAAAAGAAAAAGAGGCCCAGATCTCTCAAAAAGGACCAACTCAGTGTGTAATGTGGGCCAACAGGGCACATCTCTTTATGACTGGTTGGCTCACGGCCAAGTGGGCCTCAGCAGACTCATGGCTCCAGCACAGCTCTACTAAGACCACATGGCAAACTGATCCTGCGGCCTGAGGCTCTAGCGCTGAGAGATTCATATTCATTCTTACTGTCAGTAAAGTGTGAAGCAAAGTTCAAAATTACAGACTCCTCTGCGGTTTGCAAAAATAAAGCCCTTCAGAGTCATTACAGGACAGTTGGATTTCACTAAAAGCAGATAATGTTTGCACAATTACTTTAAAAAGCTCACAAAGTCTGCCATCCACTGATCAGAAATAAGGTAAACAGGAATATTGTTAAATATATTTTCAGCGTCACTTCTCTAGTCTTCTAATTTCTAATCATTCTAATTTACTCATTCATCAACTGATATTCCAAAACTGTGATTCAGCACACAAGATTTTAGGTTAGTTTGAAATTAAATTACTTTAATCAGCCATTTTATTCCTAAATTTTGTATCACCATAGTTTCTAAATTGTATCTAAATTGGATAAATTTCCCCCATTTTGTGTCCCCATCCTCTACTTCTTAAACTAAAGTTATATTATTTGCGCTTGCAGACTGAATCAACATCTTTAGTGTATGTTGATGCACTGTTTTGCAGTTTCCCAGACATCATGTAGACTGTTTGATGTTTGTCTACTGTTTCCCATATCAGTTATTGGCACAATCAGTTAATAACGGACTGTAATCATCAGCCACTGGGCTGGTAGACCCTGAGTCACGCTCTGAGAGCTTTTTTTCCTTGACATTGCGAAAGACTTTTATTAATCTGCACGTGTCTAATAATTAAGACTACAGTGATAAGGTTCAGAGGGAACTTGTAAGCAGAAGTACTGTAAACAGGTCACTGGTAGTCAATCGTTAAGCAAGGAAATGTGTTTGACTCCTTGCAAAGAGTGCAACATTGACTGCAAAACTACTTCTTTCCTATTCATTTTCTTTGTAGGGATTTAAATCTTGAGTAAACATGAGCCATGAACCAAACCATGAACCAAACCAACCAGCTCTAAGATGAATAACATTGCAGATTGTGTTTACGAAATGGTATTTAAAACGAGACAAATGTACAAGTAGGTTTACATATTCTTTGTGTTAATAAACTAATTTTAATATTTGAATGTCATTATGAAAATTCATTTTTTAATGTAGAGCATTGACAATATTGACAGACATTTTTAAGCAGTTTTGCATATTGTAGTTCTGCAATTAAAATGACATTTTTTAATGCAATTTGTACCATATTCAGTGCTTGATCAAGTCAACCTTTTCATTTTGAATTGACAAATGAATTTTGCAAAAAAAAATTATATGACAATTATAATAATTAGGGCTGTTTGAGGGCGATTTGGCCTAAAATCAAAATCTCGATTAATTTCACATCTTAACTCAATTAAGATTAATGACCAATTATTTGATTTATTACTCTCACAGTTCACTGATTTGAGGTACAGTCAATATGCTCAATTATTTCAAGTGTGAGATTTCTGAATGAAGGGTGCATTACTTGATTTGAAAATAATTGAAGGAAACACCCACTATCTCTATAATTATTTATTGAATTTCAACATTGAACAACTGAAATTAAAATGCAAGTTGCCTAAAAACAACAGTCAGTTTTTCTTATAAAAAAGTGATAATAAATAACTTGCACTTTTGTAAACAAAATTAATTATTTTTAATGTGTTTCATGTTAAAAGTAGAAAATGAGCAATATCTCTTCTGAATAAAATAACTCTTGTATAGCCTGTAAATAATATTTTAAACAGCGCATTTCTTGCATTTTCGGTAAACAAATATTTTAATGTAAATAATAATTTGAATGTAACAGAAAATATTCTGTGTTGAGGCATCTCAGGCGCAGTTTTCAATCATCATCAGTGTAGTGCTAAGTAAGGGTCAAGAATGGCTCCATCATCCTACTTGACCAGAGATCAGATGTGGCTACAAGGTGGCCGCAGAAACATAAATAAGCCTCAGCTTTTAACAAAGTGGTGTCATGTGACTTCATAAGTAGTAGGAAAAGTAATTGAAAAAATCTTCCTGAGAAAATTAGATCAATTACAGGTTCTGAATGTCGATTTCGATGGCTTTTCCGATTAATCGTTCA